AAACAATCTATTCTGATCCTTGAATAGATATTAAAATTTACATTCAGTTTTAGTTCTCGTGGCTTATCAATATTTATGCTCGAATTCAAATAAACAACATGAAAGAGAGAGAGAGAGGGTAATAAGGAAGAAGTTTTTCTTAATGAATAATAATCAAATTCAATTGGACATTGTCATTGCTCTAACAACAGTTTTTAAGCTTTATTTTCGACGATTTGCTTTGCGTGTGTCGTCAGCATTTGTAAATCTTGTAATCGAACCCGAATATAATGGTGAATGAATATCTTTTTCTTGAATTTTAAGTATTTCGATTAATTTGAAAACAGTTAAATCAACAGTAAAATTTGAAGATGATGGTAGAACTATAATAATAACTACTGTCATTTGATTATGTTTAATACCAAATGAACTATTGTAATAGAAACGTATTGATGATACATTAAGGGCATAAGATAAATCAGATACAATTGATTTTGATAAATATAGATCTAAACTATCGTTTGTCTGATTGAATTGTCGATTGAGAACAAAGAAAATTTTTTGTGAAATATCTTTATTCCGTTGGGCTTTATATATACAACCCGAACTTAATTCGAATGGACCAAGATCGAATAATGAAGGTGTTGAATAAAACATTTTTGATTTATTAAAATATTTGTTGAGGGCATCAATTGTATAAATCAAGAATGAAATTTTCGATTTTCGAATTCCAATCATTGTATGATATCGAATAAAATGAGGTGAAATACAAGCATCAGGTGGTATTGATAAATGAATCGCAGAAATCTTTTCCTTATACCAATTAAAAGTTGATTTTTGAAGTGAATCAAATGGTGGATAATTCCATTTTGCTTCAAATATTAAAAAACCTTCAGTAGATAATTCAATTGTTAATATAGTAATCATTAATTTAAATACTGGTCGATAAGCAAGATCAATTTTAATATTACTTTGAAAATTACCTTCAATTGGATGATTATTACGTTTTAATATTTGATTAAAATTTTTTCTTGTACTTTTATCATTTATTATCAATGTTAAATTTGTTTCTAATTGATAATCGATACCAGCAGTAAAATTTTCAATAGTATCTAGTTCGATAACCCATGGAATCGAAGATTCAAATATCATTGATAAATCAAATGGAATATTAGCAATTTTAAATGGAACCGGCTTTATTATAGGAATCGATGGAAGAAATAAATTTCCATGAAATCTATCATTATAATTGGCTGAAACAGAGAAATCAATATTGACTGATATACTGGAATGGATTCTTACGGATAAATAATCTAATGCAGGTGAATTATCTTTACGTACAAGATCGATTTGTATGAGACTATAATCATAGATAGCCCAACAATTGATACAAGTCAATTGAATACCTAACGATCGACCCTCATCACACATTTGACATATGTAATCAAATTTTGAATTTTGCGTCGGACATAAACTCGTACAATTTGTTGAAACGAGTTCTTTCGATTCGAGTGCTTTACCTCGATATTGATCATAATTCCATGACCGAATAACATGTTTAGAAATAAAAAATCGATTACTTTTAGTTGTACATTGTGTTGAATACCAATACCGACACCAATTAAATTGAAAATAATAATCAGAAAATGAACTATCTACATCAGGTAAAATGTAAAAACATGAACCACTTGAATTAACTAAACATGAAAATTGATCAATTTCATTATCCGATAATAAATAATTATAATGAAAAAGTTTTATTATTAAAAGATCATTTTTATTATCAAAATTAGCATTTATCCATTTTAAATTTAACTTTTCCAATGGTAAAAACCAATTATCACCAACTGGATATGTAACATGAATATAAGGTCGAGTTGGAACTAAAAATTTATTTGTTTTTGTTTTACAATTTGTAGATGTTGAAAACGTACAATCTAGATATTATCATGAAAAAGAAACTTTTTCTAATAAAAATTAATGAATAAACATACAATCGAATTCAAAATAATAATATTTATCGTTATCGGATCGATTTAATGAGAGCATAATATTGTAGATGTAGTTATTGGTTGTAGCCAATACTGAAAACATGTCAAGTATAGGATCGATTGAAATTTCTATTCGACGAAATCGTACGATTATTTTTGATGTTTTCTCAAAATTGATACTTTCCCATAAAATTTTTATTGAATCTCCCGGAAAATAGATATCATTCTCAAGCGGTAATGATCCTGGAATAATCAATGGTTCTCGTGTTATGTAAAATATCTCACTTGTTTTTTTATACGATGAAAATTTATGATAAAAATCAAATTCAAAATAGTATTCATCATGAGAAGATATATTCAATAATAAAGGAATAGTGAATGATATATTTTTAATATTAATATATGTATTTAATTGACTTATTTGAGAATTTAATCCAAATCGTTTTCGATTGAGTATTATTATAAGACGATTTGTTTCATCAATATTCAAATATGACCATTGAATATTAATCGTTTGTCCAGGATAAAATATTTCACCACCACGAGGTACTTTCGGAATCAAATACCATGAATCAGAAAAGAATTTCAAGTCAGATATTGTACGTTTTTTACGTGATAATATTTGTGTTGCTAAATTACTTTGTTCAATAGTTAGACTTAATGTTATATTAGTAAAACATACGAGTGGACTTAGATTCATATCTTTTACAGTATGAAAAATTATGTTTTTATTTTTAATTCGAAATGATATGATACGTTGAATAATTAATATTGGTTCGTGTGTTGTTACATTTCGACAACCCCATTCTTTACCACCATTCACAAATTGAACATCTGAAATAATCCATTTATTATAGATAAAAATAGCATTCGCTATTGAATCGAATGTAAGAATGAGTTTTTGTTGACTATCAAATAGACATTGAACTGATTGAAGAGATAGAATAACATCGAGAATAATACATGCTGTTCGATGCAGTTTACCATCAGTTTTAAGTTTGATTTTTTCAATATTATCGGGTAAACTTTTTTGATATTGAATATCTCTTTTCGTAATATCGAATTTTTCTTCAAAGATATTCGAATGAAGTGGAAGACCTGTGACAAAGTCAATATGTTTTACTTTGTTCATTTTCGATTGAGGAATAGAATCAAATGAAGGACGAGTCATTGTTACATATGATCCATAAATGATAAATAAATAAATAATAGAGATAAACATTATGAATAGTCAAATTTGAAATTTCTTTAAAAATAGTTAAAAATATTTTCAAAATTACTCATTCAATTTATCATGAGTACTTTTCGGGCAAAAGATTTTTTTTTTCTTTTATTTATACATCACCATTTACAATAATACGAAATAGATTTTTACTATTTGGTGTCATTGCACTTATATTTTTATTACAGACAATAAATAATACATTTAAAGTTTTATGTATTTTGTATATCGATAAAATCATTTAATTTCAATGAATAAGCGATGTAATATTAACAAGATTAGTTATTCATTTTATTATATATGTTCTATCTCAAACATACATAAATAGAAAATGTTTGTCGAACTATTCGCTTTTTCTCTTACTCATCGTAGAATTTTACAAGCATATGCAAATAGAAATAAGTTCTTTGATCAATGACACTATTTCTACAGAGAAAAAAATTGTCGATCGATATGTAGTATATGTTGGTGTCCTAATATGCAAGAAAAGAACAAGAGAAAATGCAAAATAGTGCATGCAATATACATTTAGTTAGAATATATGAAGAAATGAGGCACCTTTGACATATTGTTGTATATAATGTAAAATACGGTTTGCTTGACGAATAAGTGCTTTTCAGGAGAAATATATGAATATTTTCGACAATTAGTTTCATATACAAATATGTAGTAGATATCGAATAAATAAAATAGTCGAAGATAATTCATAAGAAAGAAAAATATATGTATCCCGTGAATGAATACAAAAATATTGTTGTGTCCAGACAAAGACAAAAGACATAACTATTCTCTAAATTAAGATACTGCCAATCATGACTAGACATGTGTGGAATGTAGTTATTTTTGGTCATGTCCTGATTTCGTACATATCTATTCATTTTACTTTATATAGAATGATTTTGTCAATCAAATCAGAAAAGATAGCTTCTTCATCATTTATTCCAAGTAAACCTGTCTTATCAATGGATATATCACAATCATATTCACAAATGAAAAAAAGACTATTGCCTAAAGATGATGAAATAATATTCAGTGAACAAGAGGAACACATGCAATCAAGCAATGACAAAGACATATTTTAGTGTTCATAATGATGAACTTGTTAATTTTTTTTTTAATAAAGGCATGTACATGATTAGGGTGTAGGTGTAGGTATGGAGTGGGAGTAAGTAGAAGAAAACCATTCACATCTTATTTGGGCTTTATTGCCGAACAGACTTATCTAAAATGAACTCAAACTAATACGCTCGTGACACATGTTGAGAATAGACTTAAAAAAGCTAAAAAAGTTCTAGAGAATAACTTTGATATATCCTTGGAGTACGCTGAAGTACAGCGAAGTACGGAATTTTCGTTTTTCTCCCCTGTAGTACACTGATGCGTTGATTAAACTTCGAATCTAGATCGTGTACAATGATAGTGACATTAATATTAGAAAAAAGTTAGATGAAGAAATACAAGTATCTGAACATGTGCTGACGATTTGACTGATACTTGTCATCATTCAGTGGTGTATTCTATTCGATTGGCTGAAACTTTACATACAATGAATATAGGATGATTTCTCAAAGGTGATCAATTCAGAAACACAACTCAGGCATGGTTTGCTACAAATAGTTCCACTAGGGATCATGTTTTAGCAGATTCCTTACGGTGATTGTCATGCATCTGATTCGCAAGTTTCTATATTCGATGTTCTAAATCGTTTTGTGTTATGAGATAGAGCTCTTTTTTTTCTCAAGTTTATTTATTAAAGAAAAGTTCAATAGTAGGTGAAAATTCTGAGACCAAATAAAAATTGACTGTGAAAAAAATGCACTAGTCGAAGACGATTTAAATAACATTGAAGGTGTATACGTAAAAGTTTTCACTGATACTCGAAGCGTGATTGGAGTATGTAAAAATATTACATTAAATAGATTCATTTTTCTTCCATATACAACATAATACTGTTTGATGATGTGTGAAAAAAATCTTGCAGAGAAATGTTCAAACTGAATTTTATTGATGAAGTTGATTTTAATTTTAGCTTATTCAAAAATGGAAAAAAATAACTATGTTAAATACATCGTTTCAAAGTTATAGAGTGTTAATGAATACAGAAGTAGATTAAGTTTTAATAAAGGTTCAATAGGCTCATGTGTCACTGAAATTGAAAACAATTAAAGAATTTAATTATAAGGACTAACAAATTTAGTCAATCATGATTCAATGAACTATAACATGATTCTTATTAGTCTTGGCTATTCAACGAATATCAATTTGGTATTATGAAATATCATCGTTATATAGAATAATACGGGTAATATAATTATAAAATTAAAATTATTCAAGAATGATGTTACAAATTAAGAAAAAACAATGAGCCATATACTTGATCGATTGCCAGTTAAATCTGTCAATGTGTATGCACAATTACATAAAGTAGTACTCAATTTAATTTATCCAATTATAAAGAACTTTCGAAGGAAAAATAGTACGAACAAAGTGACATAAATAAATACATTCAAACTTTCTTTTATTTCATTCTGTTATCAATTCAAATTCTTTTTTTTTTCGTTAATTGTCAATTCATCTAGACTATAATGAAAAATGATTATGATAGTTTTGAAACTGTTTGTATGAAAATATCATTAAAAAAAATATATTAACATCAAATAAATAATTATAAATCATCGATCTAATACTTCGAATTAAATCACGATATAACAACAAAGAATGATATTGATAGTAACTGTCAGAAAATCAGAATCGTTATCAATGATCATATATTGATCTAATGTCAAGCAAAATTCCATGATGAAAATTTGAATCTCTATAGTTGTCATTATGTGCTTTGTCATTAACATTGTTACATTAATGTATTCAATGCAACTGGAAAAGTAATAACTTTGATTACGAATGTAACAATAAATCCTTAAATGTTGAATTTCTGCTATTTTTATATGTTATCTAATAAAACTTGATATCGATTCCACAAAATAAATACTATTCTAATCTCTGACAACAAAAAACAAATTTTCATTATTGATTTTATTTTTGAATAAATCAAATGCATTATTTTACAAAACTAATCAATCGATCGTTTCATACGACCTCTGTATCATTTTATTTTGATTTCAACCTTCATATAAAACATCATAAACTAACTTTCGTTATTTGATACTTATTATATTTTGATTATATCGTCATGCGATAAGATAAGACGTAAGCAACTAATAAACGTATGCACACCTTTATCAAAAGACGTAAAACGAAACCATTGATTATACATGAATATAGAACAACAGCTTATTTTTATGCGAGAAAAGAAGAACTAAGAAACAAAAAATGACAAATTTGTCCGTCTATCGAAATCAACAACTTGAAGATAAGATCAATAATTGTAAAATTGGTTCAAGAATAGATTTACGAAAACAACCATTAACAGATTCAGATGTAGAGATTATTATTAAAGAAGCAATTATTAAAAAGCAATGTTCTATGCTCTGGTTAATGGATAATAATATAACATCACAAGGTATTTTAAATCTAGCTTCAACTTTAAACAATAATACTACATTAGAAGGTTTATCTCTTTGTCATAATGGTATTAATGATACTGATGTATTTCATTTAGCACGTGCATTATCTAATAGTAATTCAAAATTGAACAGACTTGCTCTTACTTCAAATAATATCACAGATGAAGGTGTACAACATCTTGCTGAAATGCTTAAATTAAATCATTCATTAACTCAACTTTGGTTAGGTTTCAATAAAATCACTGATCATGGAATACAAATATTGACCGATACACTTGCTTATCATAATAAGACTCTTTCTGTATTATCTCTTTCATGGAATAATCGAGTGACTGATTCAAGTGTTGATTTTTTTATTAATATGTTTGAATATAATCAAATATTAAGAATAGTTTGTCTCGTAAATTGTAATTTATCCGAGACAAGTAAATTAAAACTACGAAAAGCAACAAATCTACGTACAGAATTTTATCTCGATCTTTAATTTCATAATTTTTTTTTAATCGTGTATCTATAAAAAACAAAAAAGAATAAAATTCTCTTAGTAATTTTAAGACATATATTTTTATCAATTAACAAAACAAAAAAAAAGATTTATTATATTTCAAAGAATTATTCTACATCGATCCATCTTATTCAATAATTTTATCTTTTGAAATAACAACTTACTAAAAATATTGAAAATTTATTTACTTTAAACTAGTAGTTAAAACAAAAAAGAAACAGAAGATTTAAATAATATCCTTATATTCCATTTGATGCACCATTTTTCCGTACATCACTACAAGCCCATAATTGATTTTCTTGTTTTCTCTATTCGATACTTTGTACAATTGATCTTCTATACACATCACATTGAATATTATGACCAAGTTTTCTCAGTTGTTCTAGAATTGTCTAAATAAAAATTGAAAAATAGGAAATAAAAATTTAATTAAATATCAAATTCTGATTTACTTGATTAAAACCACATTCAGCTAAAACTTCTTCTGGTAATAATTGTGAATGTAATCTTGGCGTATTAATTGCTTGTCTAATATCTTTTCTAAACCATAAATTAAGCATAACTACTTGAGCAGTAGTTGTCGTTATTTTCGTTCCACCATTAGCATTTAAAACTTGTAATACATGTGGATTATTTTGATCAAACATAATTAAAGGTACTATTGATGAACTTAGTCGTTTACCAGGTGTAATATAATTAGCTAGACAAGCAGGAACACCAAAAAAATTTGCTGTATTCAGTGTAGAAAAATCATTTATTTGATTATTATAAATAATATCTGTTTCAGTACCAAATACTATTGAACCAAAACTAGAACATAATTAATCATATTTATTTGAATTCAAATTTAGAAATGTCTACTATAGATTGATAGTTGATATCATTGCAAGAGCATTACCATTATGTCCAATGACTGATAAATGAGATGTATTAGTTTTGATTTTATCAAGTCATGCTCCTTGATAATATTGAAATCCGTATGTTTTAGCATTACTTAATAAACAAAAAAAAGAATAGATATTGTATTGTAATTAGAATAGAATACTTACTCAATATATTGCTTATACGATCAACATATTTTATTGATGTCAGATTTTGAATAAGCTTAAAGAATAAGAAAATATGATCAAAGACTTGCTTCTTTTTTTTCTTCAAATTTATCTCACGTAGCAACCTTCTGCTATGCTAAAATGTTTTCAACTCCATTTTTTGTGCATTATCCAGAGAATCATTAGGCTACGGAAGTCCTAAGAGGATATGAATACAAGTTGCTATTTAGCTAACATATCAAATTTTCTCAATAGGACCTCAATCGTCTAATAAAATCATGTTTTCGTATTTCAATCAAAAATTTTTGCACAAACATCAGATTTAATTAAAGTAACTTGCATAAAATGTTTCACAAATGTTGAATATCGCAGCTGAAAATGATGTAGTTTTCCAAAATCCATGTTTTTAGATAAGTGCCTCTATTTTGAAGCTATGATGTCCAAAATTTGTGAAATTTTTCATAAAAATTAATCTGATTGAGGTTTATCTTTGTGTGACGATTTTTGATTGAAATACGAAAGTATCATTATATTGAAGAATTGAGGTTCTACTAGGAAAATCCAATATATCATGTAAATAGTAATCTATGCCAGTATCTCTTAAGATTTTTATAGTCCTATGGTACTCCCAATAATGCACCAAAAAACCCGAGTTGAAAACTTTTTAACATTTCAGAAGGTTCTGTCGTCAGTGCAAAATTTCTTTTTTCGTAGAAGTTGCGAATAACCGAGAAACTAATGTTCAATTCTAGTTGGTTTAAATCTCGAATACAAGTATTATTCTACCTTTATCGTGAATGTCTTTAACAATAAGATCAGCTAATTCACCTGTATAAAAAGCATCATCACCTTTTTCAGCAATTATTTCAAGTATACGAGCTAATTTAATTCGTTGTATAGTATCACCTTCTCCATATAATTTATTTGTTTGATTATTTTTAATAGTAATTTCTCTAAAAAGAAATTTATTACATGCAAACCTCATTCCTGGAACTTTAAGAGTATCCGATTTTGTTTCATTAAAGTTCTTTTCATGAAACACCTTCTCCAAATTTAGAATATGCTTTACGATAAGCTTGTAATTCACCAGGTGTAGCAATAGATGAAGCACCTAAAGAAAAAAAAAGAGATTTTTTTCTATTATAATCTACATTAATCGTAGACATATGTTACCGACTGATAAACATTGTTGAATTAGCAGCTAATCTTGCTTGTTCTCTCTAGACATACAAGATTTCAATTTTTTTTGTTTTCAAATTTTTTTTCTAAAACTTACGCTAATAATACTATATGCTTTATTTTTTTGTCCATAAAATCATAAAAATATTAATATTACAAATGATTTTTTTTTAACATACTTTGAATAAATAATCATTACACATTCACCACTAATACTCATCGAATGCTCCCGAAAAATAATATTCGAAAGAGTAGAATAACATGAACGGATGTTGTTTTTTATTTTCAAGTATACACATTCCCAACAAAAACATTATTCTCTACGAAAAATCAAATCCAAGAAAGATGAAGATTTCTCTCGACAGAAAAGAATCACAAACAGTCATAGCTTTCAACCATACCTCTACGATCCCCTACCCTACCTTGGGTCGAACAATATAAATTAGTATTTTTTTGGCAAATGATATTTTTATATCACACATCCCATCACAAGAATATATCCTAGCTGTCTTGTTAAGAAGAAAAATATACCAATATGTGGGTTGATTGCAAAACTACTAAGTGTCCGTCAATTCTCAGCATCGCATATGGATAAAGGATGATTACGTCGCAATATTCTCAATCAATTCTGTTTGACGTTGATTTCCAAAAAAGACCCAGAAACTGTGTTTTTCAGCGTTACTCTAATATTTATAATGCAGACTGGTATTAACAAAACTAAGTGTGAGTGTAGGTGCGACTAGAGGATCAGGTTGTGGTGCGTGTGCATCTTCTCTTCACCTACATCTACATCCGTATTCTTACACAAAACACTCAGCCTCACACCTACATCCAAATCACTCGATCCCACACTCAGTTCGACACCCACCAACAAGGAGACCAACACCGACACCAAAATCACTCAATGCCTTGCCCACCCAAAACTACACATCCTCAACACCAACAGCTAAATCACCGGATTCCACACACTTCCATCCACAACCGTCGAAACTTACACCCAAACGACCCAACTTCACGCAAACACCGACCTCCCACGCTCATATCAACAACCACAGTCAAATCATCCACAAACACCCGTCGTCCGTACCAACATCCAAACCACTCGATTCAAGGCACATTTCCGTCGACAACCACTGACACACACTCAAACGATCGGATCCTGAGCCAACATCTACCCACAACCATCGTCACGTATACCCAAACTGCTCAACTCCACACCAACACCCACCCATACCCACATCTACACCTACACCCAAACCCTCCACATAAACACCCATAACACCCGATCTTAAATTCACTCCTATCCGCAAGCATCGACATCTACACCCAAATGATCCAATCCCACACCAACACACATTGTCACGCACAACCACTGACACTTACACCCAAACAATCCAACTGCAAACCAACATTTACTACACCCACACTGATACGCCCAACCAAAGTTGTTAGAGGACTTGAAATTTTGGATTTATAAATTTTTAAGCACTTCTGTACTTCGAAGCTAATAAAAATGTAGCTGCAATGTGAAAAAATGTGATCCCAACAAAAGCTCATATTCAAATTTATGACTTTCAAAATAAATTAGACACCTAGTGGGCTTCTATTCTGTATGTATGTGGGAGGGGACGGGAGTAATAGATGAACCAGATCAACAACACATTAATAGTTCGTTGAACAAGAAACTAAGAAAATATTTATTTAATCTATTTGAATCAAGCAGCTTTGTTGTTCAAGACGAAATTGAAGCAATTTCATTTCGTGGTAAACAAGTCGATGAAGTTCATCGTTATCTTAATTTTGAAGTAAATAAATCAAACTATAATCTAATCCTTTGCCATTTTGGAAAGAGCATCAAGACGAATTCCTCCAATTTGTCTTGATATGTCCAATCTATTCACTCAATACCTGCTAGCCACATCAACTACTTAGTGTAGAGTGACAATTCTCAGTAATCGATTTGATTATACTAGAGAAGAAGAATCGATTTTAATGCTGAACAACATTTTATTGATTGGATCCATGCAAAGAAATAAAGTATTTTTATAAAAAAATTTCTTTTTTTTTTGTTTTCTTTGAATCGTTTTTGTCATCAAGTATGTTTTTTTTCTTGTTCGATTTTTTTTCTTGTTAATAGCATCCTCTATGTGTTAAAATAACGATGATAAAACCTCGGAAGTTCATATTTTTTACATTTATTTATTTCCTGTAATGAACATGTCATTAAAATAATCACTCAATATGTTTCTATTTATTTTTTATACTTATAATATTTGTCATCACGGTATACTTTAGTTATTGTATTTCAGAATGGTTGGAAATAAATTAGCTGCTAGATAACATATAAACTAATATATAATTTGGTGATCGAAAGTCAAAATTAGGATTCTTTCTGTCCTGTCCTACACGACAGAACGAAGCAACAATCTATGTCCTATGTTCACCTGTGACTCTCTCCCTTCAGTGGCTATCGAAATGCTCGACATTAGAACAGAATAAACAAAAAATACATATTTCAAATTTCTGACAGTACATTGTGCGCACCGTATGCTTTGCAAAGTCTGCTCGTGTATGAAATATCCTTTATGCATATTTATTTAGAAGAAAATGTTGTTTTTGTAGAAGCCTAAGTTTCAATATGATTATCAATTTTCAGTTTCGTCAAGTAATACATTATTTAATGATTATGATTATTTTAAATGTTACTATGATCTACTACTTTTGCATGATTTTGACTGTTGAAACATTTGGATTAGAATATAAGCTATGAAATATCACGCATTCAAATGTTTAGATTTAATATCAGCCAATAGAAAAGCTCATAAGCGGATGTGTAATAATCACATATTTAATTTTTAAAGTTTTCTTAGTATTTATATATCGTAGGAATTGATGAAATAATAAAGATAAGTTGCCAAATAACTTTGAAAAAGCTTTTTTTTTGTTGATACTGTCTCTTGGTATTATTCATAGGGTGAGACTCTACTCTGGAATCATTTCATCGAAGAGTATTGAAATATTAACAAAAATCATCTGTAAAAGATTCATATTCAACACAAATAGTAATACTTTTTTTATTTTCTCCAAGATCAGGGCAGAATCCGTATTTATCTTCAATATTTAATGATTTACTCGTAAGTGTGCCATACGTGACTATTTTTTATAGTATTCAATATATTGTAATAATAATATTGATTGTTAATGTCAGGCCTAAAAACTTGAAGTTTTTTTAAAGCATGACTACAGTTACAGGGTGGCTGTGGGTGTGGGGTTTGGGTGTGATGGTAGGTGTGAGTGTGGAGTGTGTGGGTGGGTATAGGTTTAGGTGTGAGTATGAGTGTAGATCTTGTATTCACTCACATATCGTGTGGAAATTATCCGTGCGCAACTTTTTCCTTGCGCGTCTTTCGTATATCGGTCTCTTGGTATTACCCATACGGCGAGACTGTACTGTGGAATCGTTTCATCCAAGAGCACTAAAATATTTATAAGAGCCATCTGTAAAAAGATCATATTCAATATAGATAGTAACACTTCTCTTTCTTTTTGTCCTCGAGATCGGCGCAGAATCGGTATTTACTTTCAACAATTGATAATTCACTCTTATGTATGCCATACGTGACTATTTTTTTTGTAGTCTTCAACATATTGTAATAATAATATTGATTGTTAATATCAGGCCTAAAAACAAGACAATGATTACAACAGATTCTTGTCAAAAAATTGATTTGTAGTTCTCAATAAAATAAACTTAATATTGTAGAATTCATTGAATGATATTATGAATTAATAAACTGAATACATGTATCAGCTGATTTCGAACGTTGATATTCCTATTCAAAAACGCTAAGTATATAAAGTTCTTGTTTTTCTTTTCGATAATTTCGAAGATTATATATACGTATAGTAATTATTCGAATAAAAATATTTGTAATTCGAGTATTTTTCTTTCATTGAAACAATTCTAAATGAATATTCTCCGCTTAACATAAGTTTATAAAGCATTTTGAGACATAAATCAATGAATATATTGATAACAAAAATCAGACTGAGCACATGATAAGCATGCTGAACAAACTTGATCAATCCATCTGTTTTCATCAAACTATGGTTTTATAGTATGCGTAACAGATATGACATACAGTTCAAGTGCATGATAAAATCATATGTAACAATATTTACTCATTGGTGTTCAACTACGTTATATGACTCGCTCAAGTGATTAATCATCAATTCTATATCACCTCCCTTCCATTCTTTGTTTTCTTCACTCTCCAAGAGGAAGAGTAATACGAAGAAGAAACAGACCGAGAAAGGTGACACTTAAATAGAATAAACGAAAAGAGGAATCACGGAAAAGAGAAAATCGTTATATCATTCAATGAATCACTAATACTTTTTCACAAGTCAAATGAATGAAATGGCGTCAAAGAATTAACTACATATTCATTATCTCAGCTATTAATCATTAATCGAATGAAATAATATGACATTAACATTGATAAACATATGCGAGAAACAAGGAAGCTGAAAATATTGACAGTTATTTGTAAATTTACCAAGTAAAACAAAAAAATCACGCACTATTTAATATAACATATTATGACTCACTCAAATAATGTTTTTATCATCATTTCAATAGGAACAATATAGGAAAAAACCTACATTTTAACTTGTCATACAGAGTATAGGTATTATCATTCAATATTCATCAAATGACTAAAGATAGACTTCCAGAATTGAAAGCAAATGTATGCATTATTTCCTATTCTTATCCACAACATGATTTCATTTATATATTTACTTATTTTAGACTGAAAAATATGGAGATGGTAAAGATATCAGTATTATTAATCATTTCACTGTTATTAATATGAAAGAAGCTTTTTTCATAGATTTTTTTGATAAAGTGAGTATAAGAAGTTTTTATTACAACAAAAAAAAAGAATTGTTAGCGCAAACACTTGCTGGATTAAAATGTGAAACTTAATGAATTTGTATATATTATACATCAAGGAATCTTGTAACATATGTTCCGATTTGTGACTCCTAAAGTAACGATATCCCGATGATGAAAGTTACTATTCATAATAAGTAAAAGGCCAACACCTTCAATGTTATCTTCTTTTATAATAATCCTATAGAAAACTTTAGTTCCGTGGCTAAGTCTGTCACAAGTTTTGACGGACAACGACGTTCTTAAGGTATCTATGGAGGAGGAAAGAGGTTTACAAATCTTTACCCTTATACTTCAACATTCTTTTTGCATTGTATTTCACAAAATTTCTCACTATAGATTATATATAAATAGGTTGATTTTCTTGCAAATATCATCGATCAAATTACTGAGCTCGTCAATCATATTGAACATTTACACAATGCTATGTTAGAATCACCACTTGATTCTAGTAAGTTATATTTTGAAAATTTTTTCTTTAAAGAACAAAAAAAAAAGAACTATTTAATCTTCAGAAATTAGAGATGAACTTGAAGAAAAAATGAGAGAACTAAGACAATTAGGTGACAATGTTCGAAGATATTTGAAAGGTAATAAATAAAAAACTCTCTTCAAAAACATAATAAATTATTTTTGTTTTTAAGAAATGAAACAAATTCACGAAATAGAAACACATAATCAACAAAAAAAAATTCGTCAACGTATTATTGAAGCTCAATTGAATTATCTAACAAAACGTTTTTGTGATATAATGGATAAATATTACGGATCAGTAATTACTTATCGTGAAAAATGTAGAACAAAAGTTGTTCGTCAATCTCAAATAGGTTTCAATTTTTAATTATTTAATTATTGTTTTATTGAAATCTTTATATATATATATTCTAGATGGAATTGAAAAAAATGATAATGAAATAGAAGAACTTCTACAAAATAGACATTCAATTTTTTATCCACAAGTATAGATAAGAAAAGAAAAAAAAAAGTTGATTAATAATAATATGTTTATTTTAAACTATAGGTTACAATCGATATACAACAAACAAAGCAAAATTTAAATGATATGGAAGAAAGTCATTTAGATATGATGTACTTTGAGGATAGCATTCAAGAATTACATGATATGTTTATTGGTATAGCTAATATAATTGAATTGCACGTATGATACTTTTTTTTTTTGTTTTTAATTCTTTGAATTCTAATTGATATTTCTTTTTATTTTCTTTTTTCAATATTAGGGAGTAAGAATTACTTCTATTGAAGAATATCTATCCGAAGTATCCGATGATATTGTAAAAACTCAAAATATTATTCTTACTACTAAAATTCTAAATCATTCTGCAAGAAAAGTAAGTAAAAATAATTCAGATTATGTGTTTTATTTGAAGAATTATTTCTTAAAGTTTTCTAGAGAAAAATTTGTATTATCACTATTTTCATTACCATTTCGATTATTTGCATCGTGTTTTTAATACAAAGCATTCTGTGAATATAATCTACTTCTTGGATTAATCAAAAGTTTATTGTATCGAAATTGCTTTTTCTTTTTTTAAATAAAATTGAATTATTTGAAATAAACCAGAGATTTCATCTAAAAATTTTCTAGACTAAGAAGAAATGATTCGTTCTTTGGCTGGCATTGTTACAAATAGTTTCTGAAGTTGGGTATTCCTTTCAAATATGGACACTCGTATCGAGTTAACTGTGATAAGAAGACTGGTATATGAAAGAGTTTTTTTTCGCTCTCATATCCATCTGTTAGTTATGATTTATTTAGAGGCACATAAACATAAGCTTATTTGACCAAATTTATTTCAAAACATCAGAAAAAAAATATATACGTAATAGCGAAAGCAATTTCTCCTGTCGATTAGAAAAACAAGAGATTTTATTCCTTCAGCAAAGTACAGAAAATTCAGCTTTGTGGTAAAATCTAAATTTTCTTAAAAATAGAAACTTACGAGAACATCAGATTGGTGAGTAATTAAAACTATATGGTAAGTGATATAATGATATTTTAAGGAATAAGAATGAAATATAAAATAACTCTCTATAATTAAATCATGACATGAAATTCTTCAGTTAATTATCGTTTGATTCAGTAATAGCATAGATCTAGGTACAACAGGTTTCGATCGATTGCTGAATAGATAAATAAATAAAGATATTTTTAAAAAATATTGGAAACAATGTGATTGATAACAATGGCTAAAGGTAGGTATATAAATTACGAAGTGAAAATTTGATTCGCATATTTCTATATCCATATAAAATAATAAAAGTCTCTTTAATTAACTAACTTGCCTGTCACAAGTTTGCAAATTTGATATTTATTTCTTTCGTCTTTAAACTTAGAAAAAAAATATTTCATTCTAATTTTGAATGATTCTTTAGTAGAAATTTCTGCATATTCTCATTATGATGAGGACATATTCGACATTATATATACAATTATTCATTAGCAAAAGTAATGGGCAACATTGGCTCGATATCATACATCCAACACTTAGCGCTCGGGAAGAATATTGTAAATTTTTCAATTGAATTAAGTCAGGTAGTAGGAAACAAAAAAAAATAGAGTATAGTTTTCGATACTAATAGATGGACATTAGATTATCTTTTGTTGTAGAAATAGTTGAAATTGTACATGTCGTTGAACGAATACAACGTGAGAAATCTGTTTACATTTCGTAGAATTACAAGTATTGCATATTTTAAGTGAGAAAAGAATAAAAAAATTGTTTATTTTCAGTGAATAGCACCTAAATGTGTACCGTATAAACATCACTTATTTTTAGATATCCTCACTTCTGATTGATAAAAACTTCTTTTTAGTTTTAAGTGTAATGCATATGAATTTACTTATTGTAAACATAGAAAAACTTTATTTACTTCTCAATCAAATACGAAAGCTTAAAAAATGCATGTATTTGCAAGAAATTTTTAGAAACACATATATGGAAATACAATTTTTTTAATTTTTAAGCAAAACATGCGACACTATGCATAACTCTTATTCTTGCGTATTTATGCAAGATATATGACTCACATATAAATAGCAAAGTATTATTGGTGTGTACCTGCAAGATGACTAGAGTTTTGCTAAATTCTGCATGTTCATGCAAGAAAGCTCGTCTTTACAAAAACCATTATCAACTTGAATCTGCGTCAGCATGCAAATTTCTGCCATTTTGTAGTGTGTGCGCTGGTTCACGTAAGAATTTTGTTTTTGCTCTTCGTAGTGTATTTATTTTTCATTAAAATGAAATCTTCACAGGTAGGTAGTAGTTGTCAGATGATCATTAGATCCTTCAGTTTTGTTTGCATCTCGAATCTAAGTAAATGGTCGAATGGTAAAGAAGTTCATCTTATAAAGCAAAGTATGTATGTTCAAATTTTATCTCTGGAAAGAAAACTCCTGTGTGCTCATGTATGTTTACTACACGCGCTCTAAAGTTGTCTTGCATGTGCAAGTGTGAGCTCTCTACCGAAGCATTCTCATGTATTCACATACAGCAATAATGCTGCGTGTACGTGCATTTTATAAACTTTCACGTTTCACTAAGTTATCACTATTTAACAATAGAATAATGAGTATAAAAGAACAATGTTTGTTATAGAGAATAGTCTACTGTGATCAGTTGATTAATTTGAAAGACATATCAATGCAACCCTTTGTAGAGCTGGTGTGTCACACACGAAGGATAATATATCAAAAAATGGAATTCATGTTCATTACACAATGTTCCTTTCCATCAAAACTTGTATATATATGTCCATTCACCTTTTAAATTATCGCAACAATAATCATATGAACCGCATGAGATATATGTCGAACAATTTTTTAACTCATTCAAAATGAATTTCTGGAGTCGTTAGGATTTTGTTAATAATTACTATCTCTTAAGAACATCATTACTTTAGTAATATTAAGATTAATTAATAAAGTTTTTGTCATCATGTTATCAAACGTGCCGTTATCTGATTATTATAATCATATCATATGTTGCCAACTATTTGAGATTTTCTTTTTCGTTTAGCTTTCAGCATTATCCCTGAAATTCCAGCTTTTCTATCATAAAAAAGATTCAAAAAATTGATTGATCTATTTTTGACAATAAAATGAATATGAAACAATCTTTCTGATGTTTTGCCAATAACAATCTTATATTTGTAATAACTTAAGATTTTGTATGTTTTTGAAGTAAATAGAAAATTTATTCTTTGTACTCTTTTGTTAACTGTAATTTACGGTAAGTCAGAATAACATCCAAGTATATTAAATTATTTCCGTAGTTTCAGTCATTTTGTTACATCCATCTTTTGAATACAATAATATAGTTCTTCTTTAAATCGAACTAACGCGATGTATTTATTGAAATATTTTAGCTTGATTAAATACAATTCATAAAAAAAGGCTAGTCTTACAGTTTGTTTCTTCGAATTTGTTATTTCTAAATATTCAATATTGAGAATTTATTTTGTTTTTTGGAAAACTCGATAGAGATATAAAAATATCATTATGAAATTTTTCCTAATTTTACAAATATTATCTATAATCTCTTCATTGGATAAGATGCTGTCTTCTATTCAGTAACAAATGACTCTTTATATATTATATTCAATATTTCTTATTTTTGACAAAATTGGCTGTTGTCTCAATATTTTACTCTTATTTCGACAACAATTTCAAACATTCTCATCATGTTGCACATGTGAATTTTATTATCAAATTTCCTACATAATCTTTTTCATATGTAGATTTTCTAACAATGTCTATAATAATGCTCATTTACATCAGTATTGTTCTTACGACTACATTTAAATACACGTAACCATGTGGATGCAATAACATGAATATCGGTTATTTGCAAGATACGTTTTTACATATTTCAATCTACTATTATGATGTATTGTTGATGCTTGACTATATACATATATATATATATATTGTTTTGATCGATTTATTCTGTTGGCAAGCAATTACCAAAATATGCATAAGTACACATAGCATGCTGTGTTTTGATAATTATTATGATTATCTGGTTTGTATTCTCTGTACTATTCTTCTGACTTCGATTATGATTATCTGTGCTTGATTAATTTATCGTAATTTGATACTTAAATCACAACATCATCAAGTTACTGAGATTCAAAAAAGAAAGAGAAAGAAAAACTGTGGAGAAAACAAGATCAATAAGTTCTATTCATGTTATTCTATCCAATTTATAACAATATAAATCTTTTGAATGAATCAATTCAATGTATTAATATTAACCAATTTCGAGTATGTTATAATTCTTTATTTGAATGTCAATGATCAAACAATACTAATCATATGATTTCCATCATGAATGAATTGAGAGTTAGAATGGATCACAAATATCGATACTGATTCCATGATCGTTGATGTTCAATTAAGAAATAATTACAGAGTATAATCGAATTCAATCAATAGCAAGGAATTCGATGGATGATACAATAAACTTTTTCTTTTCGTATTTTTTCATTTTATGAACTATTAATGATTTTAAATGAAGATCATCAATCCATGTGGATCATTTAAAGAAATATGACCATGGAAGGTCTTAATAAAAATTATATTTATTCAAATATATGATGGTCTTAATATTTCTTTTTTACGTTCTAATAGTTTTTATTCTTCTCTTCAACTTACTATAAGCTTATATCAATTTACTTGTTGTCATTGTTTTATATAGAACTATTGACGTCATGTTTCTTATTTGCAATTGCTTTTATAGGTTGTGTTCTTCTTATTGTGTTTCTTCTTAATGTCTATTTTTAAATAATGGAATTATTTTGTTTTTTTTTGTTCTGTATAATTATTCTAGCTTATAATTTCACCATATTATAATCATTTCATCTATGTTATTATTAATTTTCCTTTATTATTAACAACGAAATGTATATATGATTAACTTGTTATAATTGTTGTACTAAATATTATAACAAAAATTAAAGGTTCCTAGCAAACAAATCATTATAATAGCTGAGAACAACACATTAATAAAAATGTTATGATAAAAACAAGAATTAAATTTGGATAAATTTTTTATAAAAACAAATACATATTTATTAGTAAAATAGTGTTATTATATAAATATAAATTTCACTTTAGATTTGAACATTTCAATAAACATCATTTTATTCGTTATATTTATTAAAAAAGAAGAATTTTATTATATTTTGAAAAGAATATGTATATTTCAATATTTATATTTTATAGATAGATGATAACATGAATAAAAAAATTTTTTGTTTAGAATATCTCTCTCATTTGAGATCAATATTCTTTTTATATGAATTAGCAATAGCATTTTAAATTCTAATAAACATGCTTTATTATATTTATGTAACAGAACAGCTTGAATCAACAAAATAATACGGATTTAGAATTGCAAATATTTTTTTTAACAAATCTACGTGCATGAAAAATTTCTATAGAATGATGTTTCTATCTTGTCTTTGTTTTTTTATATTAATAATTCTTTCCGAATAGTAACCGAATCTGACATGAAGCGACATAGTGCGAACAAGAGAAAGAAAAATAATAGCGCATCGATTAATATGAAGGACACATAAATATCAAAAAAAAAAAAAAAAAAAGAAGAGGGAAAAAGAAAGAACAGAACAAAAAAAAACAGGTTCTAATTGGAAAAGCCACATTCATGATATTAGTGAATAAAAAGTTCATTTACTACTGTCATTCATTGATGATTCATGTTTGTTAATTGTAATTGACAAATATAATTGACGTGAAAAAAAAGTCACGATCTTCAATCTTGATTTGCTTATTCGTCATCTATTTCTTAACAAGTGAAATATTATAAGTATTGATCATATTACATTCATTTCTATTCAAGAAAATGTTGAAGATGTTTGTTCTTCTTCTTTTTATTTCCATTCAAAATCTTCATGCTCTAATTTGTCATTCAAATGGTTCATTTTATTTTTCTCGAAATGAATTTAATTGGAATAATTTTTCATCTATTTTACTTAATATTGAAAATCAAATTATATCAAATAGTTCTTATTGTCATGTTCGAATAACAGTAGATTATAATAGTAATGAAAATAATTATGTTATTATAAAATTTAATTCACCAATTAATCATTATAAAACAAATATTGAATTTGGTTCAACAATAAATTTTTATAAAAATGAAATTCAATCAATTATAAGTTATCTTGATTATACTTGTTTATCAGAAAATTTCTGTGATAAAAATTTTCTTAATAAATGGGCTAAACAATTACTCGATACAAATAATAATTCATTACATACTAGTTTTATTTCCTTATGGAAAAATTCAAGTAGTACATCAAATATATGTAATTCAAAACAAATAATAAATCAATGTGAAAGTTATTTATGTTTTATTATTTATGATGAATTAAAAAATCTTAGTTATGGAAAATCACAATGTAATGATAAATTATCAACAAATCCAGTTTATATACATATTAAAACACATGGAGAATATTCAAATGATTATCAATGTATAAAAAATCATTGTACTAATCAAGTTAAATATAATTCAATATTAGAAAAAAATCATACAGAAAAAATAATAATTAATAAAATACAAAAAAATTTAGATGAATTACATAAAATAATTTTTATACGAACAATTACTATTGTCGGAATATTATTATTTATTGGTTGTATTGCTTATTATATTCAAACTCGAGAATATAGACAAGGTTATAGATTAGCAACAATTGCTTAAAATTTATCAGGATTATATTTTTTTGCTGGTTTTTTTTTTGCTTTATTTGTAAATGTGTGTTTTCTTATTAATAAAATTTATATTTAGCAGAAAAAGAAAGAATATTATTCATTTTTCGTCTTCCCAAATATAAATCATCTGAACAAGTTTCTATTAAATTTAAATGAGAAATGTCATAGAATTGGAAATAATATCTTAATATTCTCAATTGCTATCGAACTGTCGTCGTTCTAGTATGTTTTAACGAATATACAGTATTGGGTAAAATAATAAGACAAATATAATTATTTTTGATGTGTTTTTTTTTATAAGGCCAAGCATCTAGATTCTAATCCAAATGGTGATTTGATTAACCAAAGAAGTTCTCTATGAGGATATAAGGTTTCTCAAACACTGAAAATGATAGATTTCAGTGTTTGAAGATGATTATTTTTTATGCGTAACATCTAAAAGTGCACAAAAATTCTAAAAAACAATGAACAATTGCTACATTTTGTATGACTTTCTTTTAAAAAATTACAAACATCGCGAAGAAAGAATGAAGTCGTTTATCTGTGAATTTTTCAGGAATACTTCGGTAAATTTTGTATTTTTTTTTTCGTTTCTTGTATGGCTTGTAGTTTTATAAAACATGATCTAAAAGGAGTGTTGAAGTATATAGAGTAGAAAGTTGAATTCATCCTCTCCTTCCACAGACTGTGACGGACGGTCACGTGACTCATCACAGATCGTGACAGACCTTTTGATACACGATTAGAGATCATATATCACTAAAATTTCATAAGAATATATCAACTGCTTTCTTGTTGCAATTCTAGAGGATTAAGTAAAAAATTATGAATAAATAGGTTCCAAGGCATATCGAAGAAAAGAATATTCGCGTGATTAGTAACAATAGGAACATCGTGTTTCACGTTTTTATCATGCAAAGATTGTGCTAACAGCTTTTCACAGGGAATGCCATATAAATAGCAGCGAACACTCGTATTTTTCACAATTGTATGCACTTTAAGATGATATTATCAGAAGTACCATTTCTAAAAAATTCTTCTAGGGTCTTTAAGCTACATATTTCAGATTTTTAGAAGCTTTACTCATAATTTTTCAGTAAAATGTTGGTATATACAATACATTCAATAGAGAATTGAGTTGGTTACTGAAATGACTTTTTGATATACGCTAAAGTCTTGGCATGATAGGGAAAAGACATAAAATCTATCTTGATCTGATAAATTTGTCCAGCTTTCTATTATTATCTACTAGTAGATTTACTTTTCCTTTGCTATTATCGAATTTATCATAAATTTTCTGAGGTAATTATAAGTAAATGTTGCAAATAAAAATTGCAAGTCTACTTTATATTCTTGTTTAATAAAACCAGTCTTAATAGTTATCCCACAATAAACTCGAACAGATTTATTTTCATTATTATTCTTAATAGTCATTCTGAAACTATATTAGAACGACGCGTTGTTTATATACGGTCTTTGATAGTATATCAACAATATCTGTTACAATCTATGATGGGTTCTCAGAGTGTCTGGCACGAGCTGTGGAGAAGGAAGTCTAAATTTCTACCCTATATACTTCAACATTCCTTTTAGATCGTGTTTCACAAAACAGACAAAGTGAATGCTTCTAAAATAAGCATAGTCATGATCAGCATGGGGTTTTGTTTGAACTTGATTAATTTTTTGGATGATACGCAATATGGTAGTATTTTGCTTTTGCACGATAAGTCCATAATAATTAACTTAATGCGCTGTTGAGTAGCTTGTTTCATCAGTTTCAGTGATGTTGACGTGTCCAAACCAGTACAACGACTTCTAGCAAAAACTTTGATTTTCTTTTTGACTTCCTTGTTTGGTCAAATCAAGGATCAACTATGAGCAGATAAACAATTAGAGCGTAGAACAATTTAGATGTGTTAGTTTTCAATGATTATTTGACTATTTCGAAAAACAGTGCTGCACAATCATGCTATTCTAACTACATCTATACATTAAAAACTGTTAGATTCTCAACGCTAGTCAAGAACGCAAATAATCTATGCTGGAAGAGATATCTGTATAATTGCGGATATGGATCAGAGTGTATGATATGCGAGTGTGTGAGGATCTTTCTTTTATTCACACCCACAGCATGCACCTATTCATATCCTCAATCGATAGTAGTGAAGAACGTGAATTTGCAACCACGTACTCCACCACCAAAGAGAATATTCCTCGATAGGAAGTTCAATGCTCTTCGACAAAGGCAATCAACAAAGAGAGTGAACGACTAAGCGTGCCTGAAGTCGAGAAAGAAAAACTAGAGTTATTAATCATTTGGTCCAAAGAATATCGAAAGAGAGAGGTCTAGTCGCCATGGATATGTTAAAAAAATGTTCAAAGCATTATGATGCGATAGTCAGAAGTACATTGGCATTTACATCACTTCAATTTAGTCGATTCCTGAATTGATGCTACAATTTTACGGGTATTTAAATTTACCAAAATTATCTTTCTATTTCTCTCTGATCACAAAAAAAAGAACATATTCTTTTCATTCTATTAATGGAATAATTATCAATCGATTGCATTTCTTCGCTTATATAGCGTACGTATTACTATTAATATATTATGCATTCCTACAACGATTTTTACTACATGATCATGTATGGAAAATATAACGTTGAAAATGATGATTCATAAAGAAAATCAGAAAATCTTAAATAGACATTTTCAGTTCGATGAAACAAGAATAGATTACATTGCCTTAACTAGACATAAATGTCACTGAAGGTTACGGATTATTATTGAAACTGTGTAATCGATAATTCTGAATTACTTACATATTGACAAGGGGATTAAATCAAAATAAAAAATGACATTTTGTTCGTCTTGTTAATGTTAAAAAACAAGCATACAAAAACAAATGATATCTGACAAACGAAGGATACATGTATATAGCGTATATATATTCAAGCAAAATAAGTTTGTTATTTTTGAGGATATGAGTGTATCTAATGATGGATGTAGGAGCGTAAATGCGTGCTATCGAAGTGAATATCCAAACTCACCTGCACCAATATCCTCAAATAATGAGCGCAAGTCTCAATTCGAAATATTACTCTCTCACCCACCTAAAATATGTTTAAGTTTTAGATAGAATCCTATGTGAACATAAATTTTTAATTTCTCATATATTATCATATTCAAAAGAATAGGAGCATATTAGTTAGCAATTTAGGCTCATCAAACATAAACTGAAGCGATTCTGAAAGAAAAAGTCCTGAGTCAATGAAACAATTGTAGTCTGATTCGATGTTTTAAATATTCTAGATTGAACATGTGGCTCATATTCTTACTGGCACTGGTTGCAACGGCTTCTGCTCGCGTCGCTCCTTTTACTACCAATCCGACTACTATTACCACAACCGAATTTATCTACGATAGTATCCTTGGCTATCCTTGTCATTCGAATAGCAACTGTGGTGGTCTTGTCGGCAATTCAATGTGCCAGAATGGGATATGTGCATGTCGACCAGGATACGCTGCTCTCGGTGCTTATAGGTGTGTTTCTGCTTAAAGTAGTTATCAATTTTCCAAATCACTTCTATTGAAAGCAATGAAATATGCACTCTATCTTTGTCAACAACTCATTCTCTTGAATAAATTTTGTGCATATACGATAGCTTACTTTTGATTGACTTGAGCATTATCTGTTCTTGTTCTCTCTCAATAGCATGTACGACATAGGACATTACCGGTTTTTGACGAGCTCTTTCTTATCAAATTTGGTTTTACCTGAAAGTTGGCTTCTCATGTTCAAGTGTAGAGAACTCATACAGAATTTATTGATAGGTTCTTTTCTAAATGAGCATTTTCCATTGGTGTGTAGGATCTAAAGTAATGGATGTTACAAAAGGACATTATCTGCTAAGTACTTCACTGAAATAGAGTGCTATTTTTATTGTTTAAAAGATTTTCTATATGTGATCTAAACACACTATCAAAAAGAGAAAAACGTATTCATTTTGGTAGACATAAAACAAGATTCGTATATAAAATTTTACTATAAAAAAATCACAAACAGTACTTTTTTATTTATCGATCATTTGGTGCCGTTGCATGCCAACGGAAATATTTTTAATTTATCGTTCATTGTAATCAAAACATCAGTTCTTACGAGGGCTGAACAATATCTCCCAAAAGCGGAAAATTATTCTATTTCTAACAGAAACGCTTTTTTTTAAACAGAATACTTCATGTCAGATAATTCACATCGAAATAAATCGAATATTCACAAAAGAAAAATTCTTCATCCATTTCTACTTTCACAAGCAGAAGTCAAAAAGACTTAAAGAGATATCAATCATATTACTTTTCGCTATAAAGAGAAATTCTAATTGAAATGGATTTTTTTCCAGCAGAAACGTAAATTATTCATTCATTTGTAGCTTAACAAGCAGAAGATAAAAATAAATAAATAGTGCATGAAATAGTGATTGATAGATATATATTTATGTTCTTTCGTTCTATTTCTTTATGGAAAATGTAACGTGACGGATATATATTTATATTCTTGTCTTCCATTTCTCCTTGATTACTGTGACTTTATAGGAGGTGAAGACTTTCTGCATAAACTAGAACGATTTCCTCATCGATTGATTCGATGGTCCACTGCAAACAAAAACTGAACAACTAATTAAATTTCTCATGACATTTTCCCTTTCTCAGTAAAAAAATTTTTTTTCTGAAAGTTTTAATTAGTTGAAATTTTGAAAGCTTCTAAATGAGACTAGTCGCTATGTCTAGAAGAATTTTCAGCTAGATTGATTCGTTAGAAGCTGAGATTGATTATTAAGATGAAAGACGATCTTAATCGGGAAGAGCAATTTCAGTAAACACTATTCTATCAAATGTTCGTCCATCTGCTCTCCTGAAATCTATAGACAACATTTATGTTTATTATAGAACTACTTACAAGAAATAATTTTATTTTGTGATACTCACATATATTTTCGGAGAACATAGTGAATGTAAATTTTAAGTCGAAGGTTTGCGGTTCCTCCTCATTACAGACATTAGCAATCTATGAAAAATGAACTGAACGAAATTAATGACATGAGATTGAATGTTCTAGAAAATTCTAGTCTTCATTGAAACTTGACTGGTTGAAATATGTTTGTCAACATTTTTAATAGTGCAATTTTTTATTTTTGTGCAGATAAAAACTTATATTCAAGATGTCAAAGATGATGGGTAACGATGTATTGATTTGTCACAGGTATCATATAATCAGCATAAAAAATTAATGATGGTGAGTTGATCAAGATATATAATAGTACGTTAAGACTTGCTACTGTAGATTTGATGGATATATACAACAAGGTTACTTGTCGTTTAATTCAATGGTTAGAATAATAATAATAATAATGTTAAATTAAGAAAAAGAAAAATAACGAGTGAATAGCAACAATGCTAACAAAAAAATAAACGCGTAAGAAAAAGAAAAAAATTCTGTCCGAAATACAGAAATAAATGAGAATTATCTTTACTTTGCTAATTGATTAACTTGCAAGAGAATTATAGTCTGTGAGAGATTTTTCATTGCACCGATTTTGTATTAGTTTGTTGAGACTAAAGAACATATGTATACTTCACATTTTAGCCCCAAAGAGGAGGCTATGCTAACAAGTTTTTTTGTTTCGTTCAATCACATATTTTTCCTTCGTCAATAGAAATAATCGATGACTACCGGTTCACCAAATATTCTTTTCGAACGTTTAATTGATAAATTGGCGAACAGAATATCGTGTGAAGGTAATATCGTATTGCTTTGTTCCAAAGTAGAATTTTCGTCGCTCTTGTATACACTAACACCCCAATCTGAATGTACATGACCGAAAAGATGAATACGAGGTTTCACTCGAGTGATCACTTCATGTAAGAGACCTGGACATCCTAAACGTTCTTCATGTGACGGATCATAATCTCGAACACTGTAGGGAGGACTGTGGGTGAGCAAAATATCAATATTTTCAGGAACCTTGGACCAAATATCAGCTTGAATGTCTGCAGCATCATATCCGAATGCTTCGGATGGATAGATACGACCCCTTCGTGGTCGCCAAGGACTTCCGTAGATACTTACTCCTTCGATATCAACCAGTTGATCTTGAATATAGGTCATGTTCTCTAATATCTGTTGACTGAGATCAGGTCGGTTTGGATCGAGAACAACACAATGATTACCACTGACGAAGAGTTTATGTTTGTGTGGTAATTTGCCAACAAATTCATTGAATCTAGGTAAATCACGCCAACATGTATAATGATTAACTGCATCACCACAATGAACAAAGACGTCACCATTTGGGATGACGATTCTGTCAAGATTATTATGAGTATCAGATACGCAAACGAAACGTAGATGTTGAAGATTTGTTGTATTGACTGATTGTGAATCACGATAAATAACAAAAGGATTTGCTTCAGTACCTGAACCGATCTTTTCGATCAAATCTTGATCAAGAAGTTGTTCTTCTATCTCATGGTATGGAGCATGTGTTAGATGATGAAGAACAGCCAAAGGATGACCTCGAACACGAGGCACTCGACACCTACATAACATAGATTCAATTCAAGACATCAGTCGCTATGAAAGAAAAATGACGTAGAGAAAAACAAAACCCACCAAGAACACCATGAATAATTTGCTGGTTTGAACACGGGTATACTCAGTATGGTGTCATACACTCTATCCAATATTGGTATACGATGCATTTATTTAAGTAATATCCTAATTTTGTCACTAATGATAACTAAAGAGAAAAAAAAAGTGAAAGGTAATGCATAGTGGCCACGTGAAAGGTGATGCATGCTTCATAATATTGTGCACAGGTGCTTCTTCGACTTCGCTCTTTGTTTTTTTTCTATCGAACCTTTCTCATCGATGCATTAAACCACTCAAATACAAATATTTTCGTGCGTAATAACGTTAGTAATGCAAATAGTGGGTAGAAAAGAGCAACTTTTTTCAAGGATGAGTCATCTTCAAAGTTAATATTGATTTGTATTTATTCTTTTCTGATTCGTCGATACGCATATGATATAGTCAAAATAAGTTGTCGTATATATCTTCCTTAACTATTTGGGATATTTATCCATATGACAATGAATATAAGGAATCATGAAAAAATCTCTTCTCTACGAGTACTCATTATAGTTCGTTCTTGCTTTTCATAAGATACTCATTCATGAACTTCGTTTTTTGCTGATTACTATTTTTGAGGTGTGATTGTGGATATGGAGCAAGGAAAACAAATGGATTTTGATGAATTCTATTGAAATGTGAAAGGATGTGGTCATTTCCAGATATATTCATCTGCAATTCATGCTCATATTGACAACTTCTTTGTGGTTCAGTATCTTTTTTTTCTCCCTTTTCTAGATCATTCATGAAAAAAATGTACACAACAGCGTTCTAACGCTAATTTTTAGAAAAAAAAAACTTTATTTTTGCGTGTAAATGCATCTTGTTGTTTATTTCAATGTGTTTCGATACATCTTAATTAGTATATCTTGCATTTGCCATACTAGATAGCATAGCAAGCTGATGAAAATTGGTTTTTGCCTGTTTGAACAGATCAGATCGTATCTCAAAATCTATTTCAATGATTCTTCTACCAATTCAAAAAATTTTGTTCTGTTTTAGGAACAGTATTTCGATAACAGAACAAAGATTTATTAATACCTGGAAGTTTCATTCTCAAAAATAGAACAAGAGCTTCTTAAAATCGAAAGTATCTTTATCAAAAATTATTCAAACAGATCAAAGAACGTTTTCAACAATTTCTCAGATCCAATCTGCAATTGAACTTGTCGATCTCTAATCATTCAAAGAAGATTATATAAAAGTCTCGACTATTGACTATTATTGAGTTCCTCCTTTTCATTTATTCTCTACGAAAAAGATTGAATAAATTTTACGCAATGTAAATTTTATATATATGTACAAAAAATGAATGTAACTTGCTGATGCATCATTCTATACTGGATTGTGGCTGAAATATTGACGATAGTATTTCTCAGCTCAACGAAAAATCTTCGGATTGCCAATAATTGCTTTAAATTCAATCAGCTTTCTAACTTCCCTTCTCAACAACAGTGATAATCCTATGGTCTATATAAATAATGCGTCATATTGAAGTATTCATAATTGAAATTTAAGCGAACACTCAATTGAAGGACTATGAGTAATAAAGAGTACCAAATCGACTATTAAATAACTTTTTATTGATAGTATCCGAACTATGAATGATCGTTTGAAAAGAACGTTCACCAAGTTTGAGAAACTGCAGAAGCAGAATTTAATCGATCAATATGATGCATAACAGTAATAGACTATGTGTCCTTCAAGACTTGAACATTGTAAAACAATGAGCTGATATTAAACTATGCGCAACACTCACAACATGCTTCACAAATAATAAACGTCTTGCTTTTTTTTATACGGTATGAAAATAGTTGAATGTTCTTACGTTCCTTTATAAAAACGTAGGTGTTTTAACATACATGCATGCATGTCTTACATCAGATAATATCATTCTCAATAGTCTTTTTGAAATCAACATAAGTCTCATCAGCATATTTTACTAATATGTAAACATTGATGCATAGAACAAAGGAGCATTATATATTGATTCTACATGACCATATCAGTTCTTCCACAAATAAATGAACAATATTCCACCCATAATAATCTTATTTTTTTTTTATCTTTCACTAATAGTGTATTATTGAAATGAGAATTTTCCATAATAAATAACAAATTTCAACATTTTTCAGTTTTATGAAAAAATCAAACCATGTATTTTTCTTATTGGCATATAAAATCATTAATTATGAAGCTTATAAAATAGTCTTTTTATCAACTCAACATCGATTTCTTGTGTAATAATGTTTTTCTTATTCAATCAATAATAAATTCTACCGTCTTTTTTTTCATTCCTCTATATAATAATGATTCAATCTGCATCTCATTGACAACTCAAGAAAAAAAAAGAACAATATGCTCTTGTACGAGGTTGCATATGTACACAAGAACGAACTGTCTTCGCGTTCGATTTGATGAAAATTCTCACCACAAACTGAATGTTAAAAAAAATCTTTTTTTTTCTCTGTTGTGAAGAAAAGACATTTGAATGGTGACATTGAGAAAGAAAAATCAATGATCGTTAGTAACCAGTTAAATTAAACAATTGATCATTAAAATAATAAACAAGTAAAAGAAATATTTTTCTGTAAATTAATTTCAATTTTATATTTAAAAGTCTAGAGATGATTTTGAATAGTAACGGTCTTAGTATAACATTCATTATGATTTCCGTAATGTTTGGAGGAATTGCTTTATTATTAGCTTGTGTCGGTATTGGTACACCTAATTGGCAAAGTAATCAAGTTATAATTGATGGACAACGACATACAATTAGTACGGCAAATTTTTTCTATGCATGTAATTCATATTCAAATGGTACATTGATAAGTTGTAAACATCGTAGTTCTGATCGTAATATTAATCAATATTATCCAATTGATGCACGATGGAATGAAACTGAATGGAATCAACATTTAGATAGTGCAGCTGGTCTTTGTATTGTTGGTATTATTTTTATTTCCATAGGAATAATAGCAACTTTATTAATGACCGTCGAAGGTTTACCAGCATGGTTTTATTTATTTGGACCAATAGGACTTTTTCTTGCTTGTCTTTTTATGTTAGCTGGAATGGCTGAAGGTGCATATGTACTTTATTATAATGATTATGCAGCTAATTTATATCAGACAGCACATTTACTTACGATATTTAGTTTTCTAATAAGTTCTATAGCAGCTGGACGTTGTTATTCATTTCCTAACATAGGAGAATTCGATATACCTTTAAGAAAACAGTAAATAAATGTTGATTATTACTTATAAAAAATTTCAGGTGAATGATAATCTTTGTTGTTTTTTTATTTAAAGTACTTTGTCAGTTTGATTTTTATTATTATTATTTTTTTTTTTGATATGATTATTTTGATTAAATAAACAACAACAAAAAAAGAAATCTTTTACAAGGTTCAGTTTTTTTTAATTACGTTACAATCATTAAATTTGTAATTAATATTAACCCTTTGGGGACGGTTGGCCCCTTAAGGGGCCATGGCGATTCTCTAGCATCTCAAAACACGCAGATTCCTATATGAGATTAGTTTTTGTGAAAGCATTTATCAGAGAGTTTTTTGGTATAATTTGGATTGTAATTAGTTTATTTTATTCAGATATCCAGTAATAGATTATAAGTTCTTTTAGAAAATAGAAATGTTGATTGATTTATGACGAAATATACAGAAAAAAAACCCGTCCCCAAAGGGTTAAGTTGAATAATCGAATCATAAAAATAACAAAATCTTAAAAACTAATGATTTTTTGTTTGTTTATTTAGAAGAATAGAAAATCTTTGGATTTTCTTGTCGGTAACGGAAAGTGTCTCATTCGATTGCAAATCATTTTTAGATTTTTTTTATGCCTAAAATACAACACAGAACCCATTGGATCGAAATCATAAATTAAATGCATAATCTGCTAATAAAGTGTGTGTCATCTAGAGTATGAAGAGCATATTATAATACAGTTTCAGCACAGCTTTTCATCGACACTGTGTGAATAATCTGCAGTAACATCTATATCTTGCACTTATACAGGAATAATATGTGCTGAACATATATTAATAGCACTTTCGATGTTTTTTCTTTCTACCAAGTTCATGTATACTGATCCTCAAAAATTTTAACTTTCTTTAATTTATTTTTGGTTTAAATTTGAAACACATTTTCTTATACAACACAACTAGCTCTATTTAGTCATCACAAAAAAAAGGAAGTATATGTTTTGCTGAAATTTGGAATTGTGAACATCTTACATACACTGAGTTCGAATATCTTCGCTCATGCACGCTAAGGACAGCTTATATTTTGTTTGATGGTGAAAGCTTTAATTTTATCCAGAATATGTCTAATCTTATTAACTGACAACACAAACATCTCCATTATGAGATAGACTTGTTTGGAACGAAGATAAGAATAAGTTCACTTGTTAACAATAAAACATGTTCAATCTATGTCATGTTTGACAGATAAAATAAGATTTTTCTAATATTTTTTAAATTATAAATAAAAATATATTTAAGTAGAATGATGATGATGATGATGAATCCTAATCTGTATTATTATGCGAAACACAAATATAACATTATGAATTCAATGATATTATCAAAATGAATTGCTCTTTTTTTTTTTGACAAAAACCTTTTTAAAGATGAAAAGAAACTGATTTTCTTTTGAAACAGTTATGGCATATATTTCATTCGAGAATGTTTTCTTTTGATCATCATTAAAAACTAAAACTTGCGAACGGATCATCAACTATCCAGGAAAAAAGAAAAAATAATAAGTTCAACTCAAACTAATTTTCATATTGGCAAGAATATAACGACCATATTGGGTGTGTCTCCTTTTCCTCATACACTTTAGAACTTTTTCATTTTCTTCCCAGGAAATATTGATTCTTTTTATCTAAAAAATTCATCGAATAAAAGAAAAAAAACTCTACACTCTGCGACATCCCTGTGTTTTTTTTAGTTTCTAATTAACATTATAATTTGATGATAAGATTTTTCTATAAACGTATTCGGATCTTAAAATTTGCGGTAGAACACAAATTTATTAGACATTCGAAATCTTAAAAAACCAATTATTCCATACTAATATTAGTCATTAAAATTTGATTATTAGTTTTTTTTATTGAAATTTATGTATATCGTTGACATTTCTTCTCAAAATGTCGTTTTCCATAAATAATACGTCTACATAAAAAACAATATTGTTTCATACATTGATTACATATTATCCAATTATCTTGATCAATTTTAATATTAAGTTTTTTACATGATTTCGTTGGACAACGTCTAACTCGATTGATAATAGCAGCACCAATAGTTGATTTATTATCAATAGAAATTCCTGAATCTTGTTCATTTTGATTATCTTCTATCTCATCTGAATCTGTCTCTTGTTCGGATGAATTTACTAAAAAAAAGATAAAAAAAATACTATTGTATTTTTGAATTATCTTGTAAACAATTTATTTCGTACCAGTATTTGCTACTTTGTTTAAATCTTCTTTAATAGATCCTATTTGTATCGAATTATGATTAAAATTATTTAATAATGAACTTATATTTGAATTTTGAGATCTTTCTATTGTTTGCCAAGTAAAATCATGATCACATCGTGAACAATGCATATGTGAACAACCACCATTTTTTTCAATTCGTATATTGCAACGTGGGCAAAGTTGAGTATTAAGTGCTTCAATACGTTCAGCATTTAATACATCTTCTAATAATTTATCTTCTTCAGATAATTTTATTACAATTTGACGATATTGTTCTTTTGGAATTTGTTTTTTAACAGAAGGTTTTTTATTTTCTTTAATTTTATTATGTTGTGCAAGAGCTTCTTCTTCACTTTGTCTTTGAATTCGTTGATATTTTTTTTCTTTTTGAAGTTTTAATTGTTCAATTAAATAATCTTTTGGACACATGGTTTGAGAATGATATATTTCTTTACATTTTTTACAAAATGTATAATGACATTGATAACACATAGCTAAATTATCATTTTCATTATTGATAAGAACAGGAGATTGACATCTATGAATAAGATATATTTGTTTGAATATTTCTATTTGAAGTTTTAATAAATTTTATTTCTCACCTTGGACACCAAAGAATATCATTCATCAATTCAAGACCATGTTGTAATGTTAATCTTTCATATCTTTCATATAATTCATTATTTTCAAGTATTTGTTTAATTTCTGTTGGAAGTAATGATTGTTTACATTGATATTGTGGACAATGAAGTTTTTCACCAAATAAACCATTTTCTAAATTTAATTGAATATAATTATTCAAACAAGATCGACAATAAAAATGACCACAACGATAAAGACGAATACAATTAATGCCTGGAATAATATCTGTACAAATTAAACATGTTTGAAATTGTTTTTGAAAATATTCATTTTCACGTTCATAATTATAATTAATTAAATATTGAAAAATATTTTCAGCTTTTTCAAATGAATATCCATTTAATGCTCGTGGATCATTTGTATATCCTTGAAATTTATCATTTAAAATAAGTTCATTATTAATTTCCTGTTTAATTAATTCAATCCAATCATAAACACATACTTCGTTATTTTTAAATAAATAATTATCAAGTTTTTGACAAAGTTTTTCTAAATCATATTTTGAAAAATAAAAACATGATACAATAAATGATGGTGGATAATGACTTGGATATTCTTCATGATAATGAATTATAAGTGTTAATGTTGGTAAATATTTTATAAATGATATTTTATCATTTAATTGAATTCTAAATGATGTTGATAAATCAAATTCAATTAATATTTCATATTGATTATCGTCGAGAAGACGAAATTTTTTATCAAATATTGATTGTAATACTAAAATTTCATCTTCTTGTTTTTCAATATTGGTCATTTACAATTTATTCTTAATCGAAGTTCTTTTATTTATTATACTATTAGAAGTTACACCATTTTTTTTTAAATGATATGTTTTTATAGCTAAAATCCTTATTTTTTTCATATCTTGCGCAATTACTACTGAATAATTTTGTCATTCCTTGCGTAATTACTATTAAATATAAACTCATATGTGTTAAAATATTAATAGAAGAAAAGAAAAGAAGAAAAAACACAAAACGTGACAGAGACGATGTTTTTTGTTTTTCTTTCTAGGATAAACATATCACATGTTACAAGTAAATATTTTCTGCTAATAAAAATACAAATGTAGTATTAGAAAATATTTTAACAAGATTTTCGTTGTCGATTAATCATTCACAAGTAGACATTCTTATACCTGTTCTTTTTTTTCTTGGTTGATGAATCAAGATCTATTTCATCCTTGAGATTTAGACAAGTTTCTTGTGTTAGAAAAGAAAAAAATAATTTTTGCTCAGACCTAAACAAGTAAAAGCATGATTTCGGTATATTCATACTTGCCTATGTGTGTGACTCAAAATTTCATTTGAGATCAAGAAATGTTTGCAGTTCTAATTCAACATTCCTTCAAACACCAGATAAAGATCACACTCGAGGCACTCGATCAACTCTTCTACCTTTAAAGCTTCTGTGTAGATAATGATTAAGTTGTCTATCTGGTGAACTAGTGGAATTATCATATCATAGTATGAAAAAGTGGTTGGTAGAAATAGAATCGTCTGTGACTGCAAGAACTAACAAGTAGGAAGATTGTTTCGTCGAAGTGGCACAATAAAAAACGAGAAATGATCATACAGAATATTGTCTGCTTTGGATTGATAATGGACGATAACAAATCTCTGTATGTCTCTGATCTTGAAAAGCATGAAGTGAAACGATATCAGATAGGAAAGACAAATGGAGCAGTAGTGACGAGTGATAACGGAAAGGTGATTGTTCCAAAAATCATCGCATGATGAAATGGATGAAGCCTATAGAACACGGAGTTGATGGTGAAAGTCAAAGAAATAATCTGCAACAATCAAATTGTCCTCAAAGACTATTTGTCGGTTAGTTAGAAACAATCTATGTGATAGATTATGGGAATCATCGAGTGAACCGTTAATGTAAATGAGCAACACAATGAAGTGTTATTGTAAATAAAAACGATAAAGGAAGGCAAGCGAATCAGTTGAATAGTTCGCGAAGTCTGTCGTTTGCTCGACGTAGCAGTTTCTATCTTGTAGATTATGAAAATAATTTTGATTGAAGAGATCAATTGATTGCGAAAAGTGAATGTTGATGAATGTTTTTTGACTTTTGAAGTAAATACAATTTCATTGACTATCCAATCAGAATGGCTCTCTCGAGTGGTAGTGATGGTCCTAAACTGATGTATACAAATAGGGAAAAGACTACATGAACTATATCGTCTTGTAATAGAATCGCTCTGTTTGAAAGTATGATGATCTTCCAAAGTGTCTACCTACTTTTGCTGATCTTTGACTGCATATCAAAGTATAACATTTTGCATTTTACGATCAGAAAATCAGATTAGATTTAAATCTAATAAATAAAAGAATTTTGTTTACAGATAAAATAACAATTTGCAGAATTGAATTAAATTTCGATTAAATATCCTATCATTAAATATTGACTTTATAGGTGTTATAATACAAAAAAAAAAAGAAATTCCATAAAGCTTGCTTACGTCGTAACTATTCATTTTCTTTTTACACTAAAAGAAAAGTCCTTCTCATTTAATCTCTTCTAGAAGTTCGAAAGTATCTTGTGTCATATCTAGTTTTGGATAATTCAAATGTGAAACATACATACAAGTATTTTTTGATACATCGCATGTTACTGAATATAGATAAAAATTAAATTCATAATTTGATGAAGTTATAGTCGAATATGATACTCTTCTTTGACATCGTATTTTGATCAAGGAAAACAAAGATCGATTGATAAAATTCGGCAAAAAGAAAAAAAAAGCTCGTTATTAAGTCTTTCAACTGAGAAGTTCAAGCAAAATTGAAGTTTTTTTGAATGATGAAATTTGTGTTTTGCTTTAAAATTCTATCTGTCTAAAAAATAAATGTTACAAGAATTATTCGATTTTGTTCGATGAATAGAAAATGCACGTGAAGAAGAACAATTTTTTGAAAATAGATCTTTGCGATTAGATATCAACATTAAAAAAAAAAGCGGGAAGCAAGAGTCGCAAACTGTTTCATTGTCAAACAACAGTAAAGAAGATGAAACACCACTACTTATTTTTCAAATTCGAGTCATTTCATAATTTTCTAATATGATATCGTCACACATTTGCAATAGGATTAGGACAAGGCTTCAAATCTCATCGTTTTTTGATGAAAAATTTAAACACTATGATTGGCACGCTAGAATGGAGTAACATGTTCATCTAGTAACTGAATAAAAAATGCTGTTTTTTAAGACGCTGATATCCGGAGAAAACTCACTTATTCATATGTAACCGATATCAACTTTAATGACAAATAAGGACAAATATTTCTAATACATGAATTTTCATTGACATGATTTCAAAATTAGAATTGATGCATGCTACCTTTCGTCGACTTACGGTTTAATGGGCTATGCTATTGGTTTTTTTTTCTAGTTAGTAAGTATCAAAAAATATATTGAACTAATTTCTTTTCTTATATTACGAAAAATGAGTTCATTGAACTATTTTTCGATGGGTACTAGAGATGTTCTTTGCGGAGTTGCTATCGCTTTGGCAGTAGTCTTTATTTTCAAAGAACATTGCAAAACTACAGTAATACCGTGGGAGAGTTAGTTTATGAGTATGGTATGGCAGCGGCAGTATTTCAGTTTATAATGAATTATTTAAATGATAAAAATGGTAACATCAATTTCAATAGTTCGAAAAAAAAAATATTCAATAATGAGTCTATTCAAGTTTTACATACATTTTTTATTTCTATTCATTTAGTACATACGCAATTAATTTGTCATAAATATCAAACTAATAGGAAAGTATACACCTTGTGAGTAATAATATTTACGCATTTCTGATTCAAAGACAGCTATATTTGATTAGCTATGTAGGCACATACCAAGACAAAATGCATTATTTGGTTTTTACCAAGCTTTACGCGATATACAGATAATGGGAAAAAAAACACATTATGTTTTTTCCAACTTCAAGACGATTTGTTTTTTTTTCTTTTTTCTTTCTACTTTCCGACCTATACCTTTATAAGGCAAGCGGTATATTATTCTCTTACTATAATTGCATCGAAATAAGTTATATATGCATTTGATTTTTTGATAGTTGGAAAAAAGAATATAATATTCTATGGCATATTTTGACCCAGTTATCGTGCTCTTTGGTTCAAGTAAAAGTATTTCAACAATAAATTTACGACTTCCAGTTTCATTTGTATTCGCTATTGATGAAACATCACTTGAAGAACTCGTTACCGTCGATCCACCATTGGCTAGTACAACTTTACGACGATATTTTATAATTCTTCTTGAATCGATTAGCAATGATGTATTTGAACGTCTACAAACTAATCATCGTGTTCAAATCATATATAGTAGAGACATGTTGACATATGTATCAAGTCATTCAAAATTACCTCGTATTATAAATAAACAATCACAACAATTTACACTTGATTTAACAGCAGATATCGTACATTTTTTTACAATTGAAGGTGAAAAACAAGAAAAATTAGAACGATTAAATTTAGTTCGACTATACTATCGTCAAGCACGATTGTTAAAAGAATGGGCTATGTCATTTGCCAAAGTATGTCAATGCTGATAAGTCATATTTCTCTTTCATTAATCTACAATTTTTCAGGCTGAACCATGTCATATTTTGCTCATTCCATTGAACACTAATCAAAAGAATTTGAACAATGCTCAAGAACGATTACAAAAACTTTGTAAGTATAAAACATAGACTATCCAATAGGCTTTTCGACGTATTGATCGAAAATTAGTGTGAGTATCGAAATTGCAAACGAATCTCTCGGATTCTCACTTTTCGATAAGTCAGTAAAACGCTGAGTTTTCGACCAATCGAACGATTTTTACCAAGAGTATTGAAATAAGACGGACTTTTCCCTATAGATGCCTCATTTTCGAGTTGTCGAAACCCAAGAAATAAACGCGGAGGAGAAGATTCGAACATGGGTACTTACAATTAACATTCGTCGAACATCTCAACTTCAATTAAAAAAATCTTTTAATCGACTAAAAACATCTTCTATTTGTCTCTAACTACAAAAAAAGGCTTTTTCTAAGAATCTCAAATGTCATATAAGGAGTTTATTTGATAAATAATTGATTTATGTGATAAAGTGTAAAATCAATATTAAAAAATTTTTCAAACATGCAAAACGCAAAGTTCGTTATGACTGTGTTTTTCGTCAAAAACGGTTATGAATTCCAGTCTTACTCGTTATTTAATATTAAATATTTTTTAGAAAATTATGAAATTAAGGAAAATATATGTCGAATATAAATCACCCTACTAAGATAGCTGAATGAAAGAGATATTTGTAAGTCACTTTTTGAAGACATTTCACGAAATCAAAATTAATCTAATCACTTGAAACTACTATTTTGCTCGGCTTACTTCTACGGGAACAATTAACAATTTAGTTCTAATAGATTTCTTTCCTCGACTACTCAAAGTTTCGATGAGTATTGAGAGATCTAAAAGTGCTTGTGGAGTCGAAAATAGATGTTCGATAGGATACAGCTTTCCAGTTATCGGAATCCGATAGCTGCCGAGGGACTCGAAATCGAAACAGAACGAACAAAAAAAAAATATATTTCAAACTTTCGAATGCTTGTCGCACCCATCGCATGCTTTTTAACGTCTGCTTGGATAATGACTCTTTTGTTCTTGTCTACGGCACGTATAGCTTATGTCGAAGATTACTTCATCCTTTCGGCCATATAGTCTATGTGCTGGTCCTAAGAACAGTTTTTTATTTATTTTCTCATATATAAATGTTTCTCTATGGTAATAGTTTAAATTAGGGATGTAACGATGACGGTGGTTCACCGGTACTACGGTGGACGGTTCACCATCGGCATTGCATCCCTAGTTTAAATCAACATATCAACACCAGTTCATATATCCTATATGATTCCATCATAGATAAGTATCCATGTCAGAAGAATTGGATCGCTTGTAGCGATAAACCATGGTTTACTGGAGAGAATAGCCAGTTAATCGCTGTAATCGAGCCGACAATCGGATTGGTAAAACCGTGGGTTTTCATTATATGAATAATCAATTTATAAATTTTAACTTTAAACTACAGGTACTAAACTAAATTATCCGTCTGTGATCATTCGAACATTTGATAATTATATTCCTTCGATGGACGAACAAAGTTCATGTCTTCTTCCATATTCTCAAGTATTATTTCATCATGAACATCCACAATATATTTGTGAATTAATTAAAAAATTATCACCATTACGATTATATTTATATGGTAATGAAGAATTTATTTTAAGTGAATGGAGTAATTTAATGATTAATAGTGAAACTCATGTCATGGAAGATGAAGATAATTGGTGTGCATTTATTGAAAATGAATATATTGATGATGAAATGAAATGGAATATTGGACCTAAATTTGGAACAAAATGGCAAATTAAACGAATAGCACCAATTAATTTATCTGAATTAGATAAAAATCTTCGATTTCAATCAGCTCTTCATCGAGCATTTAAAACATTAAATCATCGTCAAATTGAAATAACAGCAGAAATATTTGATTGGTATGATAGATGTATTCGCGAAAGATATCTACAATTAGAGGTAAACGAAAAAAAAAAAAAATTTTCTTCAAGATTTCTTCATGTTTGGTTTTTTTCAAATAGCCTAAAGTATCTATTCAACAAAAAGAAAAACCTCGAGAAACAAATATTTCAAATTTATCGAGATGTATTATTCGAAATCCATCATCATTTGATTATCATCATACTTCTGAATCTAAAGGAATATCATTTATTTGGCTTGATGAAATTATAAATTCATTAGATAATAATCTTAATCAAATAATTGAACCATATCATTGGTATTTTTTTAATAATGTAACACAATGTATACCATATATTGAAAATCAATTACGTCAACAAAATGAAATATTTCTTGTTGTATCTGGTTCTTTAGGTTATGAATTATTTCTTACAGCTTATCGTTTAATGTCAGCTATTCGATTTGTTTATATTTATTGTTCTCGACTTGGTCTACATGAAAATTGGATAAAATATTATTCTCAAATACAAGGAGTTTTTAATGATTCATTAGTATTAGAAGAAAAATTGAAAAAAAATTTAGAACAAATAAATCAATTAGAAAATAGAAAACAATCGCAAACAACAGCAAATGTGAGTAAAGAAAATAGGTGTTTTTTTTAGATTTGCTTGACAAAAGAAACTAACAGAAGAAAGAATATTATTGAAAGATGATATAAAATAAAATTTCTTATGAGGAAAGGTCCCCCGCTGATCCACACCATTTTCAATGATATTTTGCCCATATGCCGGGGATAGTATTCTAAGAAAAATTCTGAGAGAGTTTGTGCCCATGGGCTTTTCTTCAAAAGTTATGATCATTTTACTGATTTTTCCACCTAGTACAAGGTATATAGGAAAAAATTGAACAACGGAATTTCAATTTGAAATTTTGTTCGTATATAGTTCTTGTGATCATTAGAACACTCGAAAAGTTTCAGCGGAAAAAGAAATGTTTCCTTCTGGAGATATGGATTCTTAAAAACTAGTCTCATAATCTATAAAGTCTCGAAAAATTGACTTTTTTAAAGTTGAATATCTCCAAATGAAAACATTTTTTCCTACTGAAACTTTTAAAGTGTTCTATTGACCATAAAAACTACATATTAGCAAAATTTCAGATTGAAATTCCGTTGTTCAATTTTTCCCTATATACCTTGTGTTAGGTAAAAAAATCAGTAAAATGATCATAACCTTCGAAGGAAGGCTCATGAGTATAAACCTTCTTAGAATTTTTCTTAAAATACTGTCTCCGACATAATAAGTGAGTCAAGTTTTAAGTCAAAAAACTTATTGATATCTACTTGTAATCAATAGATCCAGTGATAATTCGAAATATTTCTCGTAAATTTATTGATAATAAAATACTGCATTCAGTATTTTTTCTGATCAGAGTTCTCATTAGTAATAGTAAACAATCAGTCTAAATCGTTTTGCATGTTTTTTGTTTAGTCAAAAATTTGATGAACATTTAAATAGTATACAGATCTTCGAAAGAGAAAAACTTGTGAAAAACAAAATAGTTCAAAATATTTTAGTAGTAAAATAAGACATATACTCATTAAGAGATAAATAAAATTAATCGAAGAAAATGATTTGACTGTTACAAAATTCTACAAAAATGAAGAATAACTCATGTTAGTATACTGATTGATTCAGTTCAGTTGAATCGATAAGAAAACAAAATCTATCAATTGCAACTATGTTGTAAACATAATTGTTTTTTTTGTATTGAAATAATAAATTATAAATTTTCCATTAATTTCCTATGATAAATTCAATAAATTATATTTAAAAAGATCTAGAAAATCGAATCTGTCATCTCATAAATCTAATTCATTCTAATCTTTAGACTTCTTACGAGCAATTTTATGATCAAACATTAGTTTCCTTACCAATACTGGTTTATAATCAAGAACAAGCTAGTGCATTCATGGCTCATCAACGTACAATAGATACTCTTCTTTGTCTACCACATACAAATGAATCATTTACTGAAATGATTGAAGAATTTCGTCGTATATATAATGATAATGAAATAATACTTGCTGAAATTAATACATTCGAAGAAACTTATAATTCTAATATTGCTCTTCAATGGTATTCACGTGATTCATTTCTATTTCGTATAATTAATAGAGCACTTCGATCAAGTGATGTTGATATGATGTTTAAAATGCGACATTTTCTTATTGATCTTTATATAGAACTTGATAATCTTTATAAACAAACACATACATTTTATTCTAGACCAATAATAGAAAAACTTTATCGTGGTCAATTAATGTCAAAAATTGAATTTGAATATTTTAAACAACTTTCAGGAGAAATTATATCAATAAATACATTTTTATCAACAACAACATCATTACAAATAGCTCTTACATTTGTAAATATATCTTTAAAACATAATGATTTTATTCGAGTTTTATTTTGTATTGAAACAAATCCATCTATTCAACATAAAAGACCATATGCAAATATATCAAATTTTTCAATGTTTACTGATGAAGATGAAGTTTTATTTGCAATGGGAAGTTTATTTCGTATTCTATATATTGATAAATTAGATCGAATAAATAATATTCCTGTTGTATATTTACGAATGGTTGATCAAAAAGAAATTGACTATAATTTTCTTTCTTAAATATTACAAAAGTTTCTTTTTTTTTTCTTCTTGCAGTTTTCATACAATAAAAAATCAAAATCATAAATCTAAAAGAAATATTTTTTTTTGTTCTGACTCTTTGAATATATGACAAGTTTTCGCTATTCATATTTATAAGTGCATTGTTATTTACCTGTACATAATACGATGTGCAACAAGAAAAAATAAAGACAAAACAAAAAAAAAACATATGATATTATATTTTTTGTATTTGTTGTTGATCGATACTAATGAATCTAATACTTAGAGCAGCATATCAAAAGTTCTGGCTAAGACATTTTTAAAGGATCTTTTCGGATAAGAGGGAATCCATTGAGAAATGAAAAACCAAATATCCGATGTTGTAGAGCTTTTTGAGGCGCCTCGAATGGTATATAGTAAATCCTGTTTTCATACGAATTTAAAGGAACTAGAGTCAATTTGTTGATAGATGACTAGATATCCACATCCAAGCATGATAGGTTACTGAATATTGTGGTCCTTGGTATTAGTCAAAAATATTTGTAAAATATTTTTTCTCAAATACGATTTTGTAGAGTTTTTGACAGGCTACAACTGCCTATCTGTAGCATCTTCGGTCATCTTGTCAGCGTGGGTGCGGATGGGTGTGTAGTCGTCTATCAGTAAACTGACTCTGGGTTCTATGAAAACAAGATTTACTATGTATCATTCGACACGCCTCAAAAAGTTCTACAACATCGGATATTTGATTTTTCATTTCTCAATAGGTCCCCTTATCTAAAAAGATCCTTTAAACACTATGGTCAGAACTTTTGGTATGTCCTAAGTATTTAGAAAAGAAAACTCCGAACAAGGTCATGGAATTGGTAGATATTTATTAGAAAATATTATAAGATGATCTTGTAGATATGAATATAGATTTATATATTTACATACAACAAATAATAATAAAGTAGTAATTGAAATGTATGAAAAAGACAACAATTTTATCAAACTGATTATATCGAACAATTATCACAACTTAGATCTGATGTTGTTCCAATGATATTGTTTTTGATTTGAAAAGAGTATTTCTATATTACTAAGTTAGTTTAATTGTATCTGTTTTTATTTATCAATACTTTATAAAGTTTTAAGAATTTTAAAATTTTGAATAACAATAAAAATACGTTGTTCTTCACGAAGCGTAGATAATCATAAATTTTAGTCTTTGTTTTATATTTAACAAATTATATTGAATATGATTTACGATATAGTTAATTATTTACCGCTACATATTCGTCAGATTTAATACGATATATTGTAGTTCATGCCGACCTCTCTATGAAAAAACTGTTATTAATGTAGTGGCGAGTTGGGCATATATGTATTTACTGCCAAAGTACAAAGTGATAAAAACAAAACAATTAATACAACAAAAATAAAATAAAAATAAAATAAAGTTAAGACATTTTTTATAGTCATTTTTGGGCACTTCATTTGACGATAGCATTATTAGATACTCGCTTTGAAATTTTAGATTTTTCCTTGGATTGCATACTGATGTTGGATCGTGGCATTTTAAACTGATTTAAAATTTATTGAAAAGTTTAACTTGAAGAAATGTTGAAGTTTAACAAATTAAAACAGGATTATAAATAGGTTTTACTGAATGATAGTACGAGAAGATAATAAAAACTAACAACTTTGCTACACCTGATAATGAGCTTCAGCAGAAAAGAGCGCTACATTGAAACAATAGAAAAGATAATAAAATAAAATAAGTCGAGCCTACATGAATCCTCTTTAATGTCTCGTATCTCACCATTAAAGAGTTATTAATTGCATTAATAAAAGTAGAACTTTTTATGGAATTCAAAATAAATTAAAGTCCTATCTTCTTAAAATTAAAGTACAGAGAGTGACAAAATTATAAGATCCTTCCTCAAATTTTGACGATGGTTCATTTAAATGAATGATTTTAATAGGAAAACATATTATGAAGAAAGACCTATCAGAATAACTTTGAAGTACTCTTCATCTTCGGTATTCCTTTTCAAACTGTTATTCATATAGTTAGCGAGTATTATTGACTAATTGATAATTGATAGTGTGGTAAACAGCAAACTTTAATGATACCTAAAAATCATATGAAAAATGGCTCAAATATGGCATCGAAATGATCAGAAACTTATAATCTATCCATAAACTTAATAATGAAAATCAAAACGGATCAAAATGTGTATTCATACGCTCCCAAACCTTTTTGTAAATTTAGTTTTTTCTTTCAAACTTCGAGATAATTAAAACGAAGATAACAACAAGAATTAACCGTCACTTTCTTTACTCATATCTCAGACGACTTTGAATACAACTGAGAATATATAATGAATCAAAGTGAGAACCAAGTAATCAATCGATATAGTATTCGTGAGAAATATCTTGACCTCTATTAATAGAGTTTTCTTAATAATTAATTTCGCAATGGTTACTTCCCACTTTCTGAGTTCGATCCGCTAATTGATCGAAACATAATATTTTCGATTTATAGTAACAGAAAAAAGTCTTGATTCTAGTAAAATAAATATCTTTTGAAGAAAAGTATTTCCATATCAATTGTAGTAATAATTATTCATTTTTTTTTAATGAGCTATCGATTTTTTCGATATTCGACATTCGAAGTTTTGCATTGCATTTTGCAGTTGAATAAAACTCGAATATCACCTACTTTGTTTCTAGTTATTTGATTTCGGCTTTTGATGATCGACAATGACATTAATTGTATCTGTATTATATTTTGAAAAACTTACAAATGTGTATTTAATATTGTCAAATTATCGTATAATTCAATGATTCTACAACACAATTCAATTCATATAATTGTTCTGCAAACTATTACAGTTTTTTTACACAATTTTTTATTAATAGAATAATATTTTTATTTGATTCAAACACTCTCCTCAACGAATTCAAGAATGAATGATTTTAACTTCTTTCAATAGATAGCGTTTTTTTATCTACATAACAAAAAAATCAATATCCCTCTATTTAAGTAATGTCAGTATTATTGATAAACGACGACTGACAAAAAAAATTGCATTCAAAGTATCAGAATTGATATTGAATAAACGTATTATCGCATAATTCGTTTCGAATAGAAGTAGAATAATCAAATCTATAAAAAGTAGATATTCAAGTCTTTTTATGAAAATTCAACATTAACAAGGACACGAAGTCAATCAAGAAATACTTATACTATCACAGAAAACAATATTGTATGTTTATAATATAGTTTGATTAGATTAGTAGAAATTATCAGTAATAAGTCGAATCAATATAGAGCTCAATACATTGATGAAATTCTATTAGAAACGTTTTCTACTAGAATTAAGATAGATCAATTCGAAAGAAACATGTAAAATACCATAAAATGTTCCAAAAGTATGCCATAGGAAAAAAAGGTTTTATATTCAGTATGAATTAATTCAAATTAAAGAATCTAATAAAAGTAAAGTCCAATAAATTCAATATGCGATTAAATCTTTTCAAACAAAAAACAAAAACTAAATCCTAGTCGCAAACGATTTAAAGCTTAACATGAAATAGGATTAGTATATATACATATATATATATATTTAGTTGTTGTTTTTTTTTGTACTTTAATAACAAGAAGAAACGAAATAGAAAATCTACAGTTTTTGATTATTTAAGAGAAGATATGTTACAAATCACTTGAATAAACGAAGAAAATATCGAAAAAGAAAAATTTCATCCAAAATATTCAATGGTGCAAAAAAATGATAATGTCATTTGTCAATAAAATCAATGCTACATAATTCTATATGATTAATCGAATGCTTCGTTTTTTCTTATACAGTTCGACTTCCACCAGAAGAAATTGGAGTTGAAGTTGGTGATCCTGTCGGACATGGATTTGAGAAAAGAGTTTTAGCTGGTGAACCAGGAATAATATTGAATAGACGCGTTGTTGTAAACGTACTACGTGTTGGTGATGAAAAATCTATTCTAGAATAAAAAAGAAAAAGAAACAAGTATGCGAACTTTTTTTTATCAAATTTAAATAGAAATCCTTACCTTACTAACATATTATTGTTATCAAGAAAAACTGTAACACTAACTGTTCCACCAAATAAAATATCCCATGCTTGTAATGGTCCTTGATCAGCATAGAAAAGATTATCATGAACAAGACCAGCAAAAGTAGCACCAGATGCAGTGAGAATATTTGATGGAAATAAAGGATAAGCTGGTGTAACATTATAAAATGTACATGTTCCTAACGTAGCAGTTGATGGTAACATTGTATAACTATAAAAATATTTAAAAAACACTTCTTAATTTTATTTTTAATTTAGTATAACAATGACTTACACATAGTTTGGAACTGTACCATCACTATTTCCATTAGCATAATCAAAAAGTGAACTTGCAATAATACCTCCATATGTCAGATCCATTCGAAGACTTCCCACAGAAGGACTAGCATATATCATTCCACTTACAATATGTGAAATACCTGTTGCATCCCATTTGTGTTGTACATATGAAGCTTGATATTCAGCAATGATTGAATCAGGTGGATCTGGTGCACGAAAATCACCAGCAAAAAGGCGTTCTGAGGATCCAACTAAGGGATTGAACAGAGTCACAAACCATAAGAAGCAAAATATAAGCACAGTGAAAGTTAACATGTACTGATTTATCGATCTATGAAAAAAAAAAAAAAAATAAGACAATCATACGTCACAAATAACCCGAATATGTCATTGTGTTACATACATATTTTCGTCTCTTTCTTTTCTTATTCCGCACAAAGGATTTTGTCATGTATAAAAGCATATAATATGATTATGTAGGCGTATACATTAAAATAAGTCAGTTAAGACTTACGTATGATTCAAATTATATCTCGTCAGCAAACTAAATCCTTCAGTGAAGTTAACAAATACTTTACATCTAATTCTTAAAAACATTATTTTTTTATCTCATTCAGAACTCTAATAATTAAAATTTAATATGGTATCTTACGTTAATAAACAAATGTCGTTCTCTTTGATGATAAGTGTTTTTAAAAATAGCTTTCAACATACTCACCTAACTCAAATATAAAATAGAAGAAAAAAAAAGCTCGTTCTAATGATAACATAATATTATTAATGTATAAATACACACATGCAATACGATAGCAAAGAACAGAAAAAGCGAGGCTATTTTTGTCTTGAATATACCGGTTTTTTTCTTTTTTCATAGATCAGGTGATTAATATTTAATAGGAAACAAAACAACTGATGTAAATGAGAAATATCGACAATTTTTTAAACTATTCCTACTTATTATTTTAATCATTTAGA